AAAAAGAGGAACGCATGTGAAAAGAATAAATATATAGAGGGCTTTAAAATTTAAACGTATACGTTATAAGAACAATATTATAGTATAAATATTATAACTCTCCCATTCAAGTATAAAAAAGTTATCGACTAACTTCGTTTGTAGAATCTTTAAACCTTTTTCCTGGAAAGTTATGATTTTGTAGATGTGGCCTTATTACACTACGGCGCGATATATTGCTCAATAGAATAAATTTATTATACAAAATATTAAATTCATATATTTTTTTATGAAATAACTCTACTAGTTTGTTATACTTGTCCGCCATTGAAAAACAGGATGGGATAATTTTTTGCTGATTTAAAAAAAATAAATAGTTTTTTAATTTTTACTGAATTGATATTCAATTATTTTTTGTGAAATTACTCCACTAGTTGGTTATAAGTCAATATAATAATAAGCTTTGGCAAGGTCGACGAAGATAGAGATATATTTCTTTCCCCTGTCAAGTTCTCTAACCAAGAAATCTGTAAAGTCATGAACAGCATCATCTCTAGATCTTTGTCTTCTAAACCCGTACTGGGTCTTCGATAGAATGTGTTGGGTTTCCAGGATATTGAGAAGCCTGTTATTGATAATACGTTCAAAAACTTTAGACAAGGACCTGAGAATAGATATAGGCCTATAGTTCTAGCACAGTGGCCGTTCCCTGCTTTATAGATTGGGTGTACTATGGATTTTTTGAAGGCATCTGGAAAGGTACCTGTATTGATTCACCGGCTTATAAGGTTGGTGAGCACTGGGGAAATAGAATGCGCAATCTTTTTTAAAACCTTCGACGAAATGTTTCCCAGCCTGAGGCACAGTCTGATTTAATATTGAGGATAGTTCTTTCAATCTCTTCGTTGACTTCAAGAAAAACAAATGAATTTATAAGTGTTGCTGTAGCGGTACAGTAGTTTTTGAAAGGGTATTTACATTAGTCAGGATATGATCAGCAAGCTGCTTACCTACAGAAGCAAAGTATTGATTAGCTATGTTTGTAGAGGATTTCGGTGAATCACAGCTTTAGTTCATGTGGGAATTGTTTTTGCTTCTGTAAATAAGTAAAGGATTTTATAGCAGTCCATAGTTTTTTGGGGTTGTTCTTAGCTGTAATTAGTTGATCCCGTTCATATTGAATTTTTTTTTGAGGAGGCCATTGCAAAAATTTCTGTATCTCTTTTAAGTCACCTTAAGAGTTTCATTGTTGGGGTACAACCTAACTTTCTTGTGCATAGAGTCTTTGTTTTTAATACAACGGAGCAAGCCAGGAGTAATCCAAGGTTTGATGATAAATTTATTTCTAGGCGATTTAAATAATTGTGTGTCATTTCTAATAATTTGTATAATATTTTTAATGAATAAGTTTGTGAATTTATTTAGATTATTTTCAGAATTAAAATGAGTAACGTCCACGTTAGAACATTCTAGAAAAATACCATCCCAGTTCAACTTATCCGATATTTTATTGTTGGCTAATCTACAGATTTCTTTTCCTTTTAGACAGAAAAGGATGACAGTATGATCTGTTACAGTTGTTTGTAGGCTGAAGGTCGTAGCAGGAAGTTTTGTTTTTATTACTACATGATCTAAACGGTCGGAGTCGGAGTATCAATGGCTGGTAGAAGACCATGGACGGATAACAAGTCCAGATATGAATTTGCTTCGTTATCCGAGTCAAGTAAATTTATATTTATGTCTCCGATTATAATAATATTAGTGAAGGTTGAGACACGCTTAAGTAATAGGTCAAGAGAATGTAGGATGGGTAAAATGTTTCGAAAAGAGGGTGGTTTATAAATGCTGATCACAACAGTCTCTCTCCCAAACTTCACCAAAAGACACTTAGCTTCTGACGGCTTTGGCTCCTCTACTACATAATTCTGTTGACTTTTTATATATAAAACCAAACCGTCATTTTGATTATAATCGTCATGCATTTTATAATGTGTATAGCCTGTCATTTCAGTGAGACAGGCTATAGAGGAGAGCCAGCACTCAGATAAGGCAACGATATCACACTGAAATGATGATCTACATAAAGGTAAGGTTAGTTTATCAAAATTATATCTAAGACTGCGTATATTTTGCTGTATAATTTTTAGTTGAGAATTGCAAATGCCAAGATATCTATAACATTGTTCAGGATTAATAATTATAATAAATATAGTTTAGAGTTATTATAACGCACATGAAACTAGATATTGTCGTATCTCGAAATTGTGAACAATGATTATTTTTATTTATACATAATACTTATTTATCCATTTATAAACGAGACTGCATGTATTGATTTCATTTAGTATTTTTTTAAATTGTGTTTTTTTTCAATTCCACAATTTTATGTTACTATAGTATTTGATTTGATACACAGGCTTCGATTTCTTAACCGACTTCAAAAACAGGAGCAAGAAAACCTCCCTCAATTCGACTGTATGTTTGTTTTGTATGTATGTTTCGCGATAACTCATTTGTGAACTGATTTTGATAATTCTATTTTTGTTGGAAAGAGGGTACCTCAGTAGTGGTCCCATTTAAATTTGAAGAAAATGTTCCACTTCTAAGGGTGGCAAACTAGGGGTTCAATGACTTCTGAGGTCGGTTTTTTAGTACTCTGTACTGAATTATTTATTATGATTACTGATTACGAGTAGAGTAAAAATAGAACAAAGCCTCCGGAAACATTTAATAGATTCGATATTCGACAACCTAATGTGTGTCGACGTCTGGCTTAGATACAATAGATTCGTTTGTTGTCTTAAAGATAGATGTAATGCAAACATCGCGTTATTAGTAGAGTACGCAAATTTAATTAATGTAGAGCTCAACATCTGACTGTCAATCTGCCGACGGAATATCGTCTTAGGATTTAATTAATTTCCTGTACCAGAAGCGCGCTTATGAAATATCAGCACCAAGACACTGCCGCCCGTCCTCTGATACGAATCCAATTTCGTTGTTCCTGTATATTTTGATTTATTAACCAAATTAATTAGATAATATTCAACACTTTGAACGAATGTAGTAAGAATACATCTATTGTGTTTTAATTTTATACACCTTTGGGATGGCTGTGCCACATACCAACTGGCCACCTTGGATTCAGTTGGCAACCGCGTCAAGAGGCTTATAGGCCACTTGGAATTAGTGGAGGCGAAGCTGCAGAGCCTTTAACACCGCCGTAAAGTTGCCTGCTTATCGGTATTTTACAGGATACATTACGGAGAGTGTGCGATGGAATTACATGATTTAATTCCGCCTTCCCCTTTCCATCATCGGGGAACTAGACGTAGACTTGGATTCTACCCCTATGTTGTGGATATTGCAAAGATTCGCGCGAAGCGTTACGGTTCCACATTTAAACGGCGAACGGCTGTGGAGTGGAATTCCCTGCCAGCAGTCTTGTTCCCTGAACGTTATAACTTGGTCCTTTTCAAGGCGTAAGTGAATAGGCATTATTTAGGTGTACATGCTCCAATGTCGACCTCATCGTCATTTTTCATCAGGTGAGATGGAGGTCAAATGCGCACTAACTTTATAAAAAAAAAACAAAATTGTGTCAATATTAGAGTCTGTAAAATTACTTGCACTCTATAACATTCACATGACCTTCTTATTTTTATTACAAACAAGTCGTACACCTGGTGGTAAGCGACGATCAAAGATCCGAGAGGCACTGCCACTGCGCCCGAGATATAAGTTGACAAGTCCTATGTGCCTGTAATTTCACCAGCACCCTAAGGCTGTTAACAGATTGACGATCTCGGCTGCATGAAGTCGATTTGGACTGCATGTAGTTAATGCGTGAAGTCGTTATCAACTTCATGCAGTCGTGGTCTCTCGGCTGCATGGAGTTGATTACGACTTCACACATTAACTGCAAACATGCAATCAATCTGTTAGCAGCCGTAACCATGAAAACCGGAATGCAATAACTATAACTGCCTCCGTGGTCCAACGGTTACCATGCTGGACTGCCACGCAGAGGTCCCGGGTTCGATTCCCGGGTCGGGGGAAATATTTGTATGGCCTACATTTATTTCTCTCGTTAGCTTGGGTGTAGTCTGTGGTTGTCTATATATATGTGTGTCTATTTGCCTAGATTTGCAACAAATGCATAGAAAAATTCGTAAAGTCTGCTGGTTCGTTCTGTGGCTCTTCAATGTCAACGTGTCAGACTTTATGCCAACTAGGCATAAAGTCTGACACGTTGACATTGAAGACGTTGGTTTGAATCCAACCGAATCGAAGGAATTTTTTCTAAGTGTTCGATCTTTGCATTGATAATTATAAAAAACTAGTGGAGTAATTTTACAATAATTTGTTAAATTTATTGAATATTATGGTGGTGAAACACTGACATTCAATTAATTTAATTGTACTAGCATTGTTTTTTGGCTTATCGATATGTTATACCACCTTTTAAGCAAATAAATAAATTATTGTTATTCTGCATATCTATTTTAAGACTCTTACCGCCTAAAATATGTATATTTATTTATTTAGATTATATAAAATATCAATATCAAATTTTACTATTGTTATTGTATACAATAAAGTATACAAACTTCTTAGTGAGTTTATTTTTTCTAACCATCAATTTCTTTCTCAAATTTAGAACAAGTCAAAATTGACACCTAAAATCACAATGTGACGTATGTCGGAGACCTAAAAAAATTATAAAATTATTTTACACAGTTTTTGATAACAAACATTATGTATAATATTTTAACATAAGGTAAATATTCCATTGTTGTTGTGTTCTGTATACGTCTGTATATACGATAGTGATGTAGGCATTTTCAAGTAAAATATACGAAAAGAATTTAAAGTAGTAAAACAAAATCTGTCAGAGACACCACATCGGAAGAGTTTGTACGGGTAGGTATGTATACTCATGTTGTAGTATGTATTTCCTATAAAATCTAGGTAACCTAGATAGATATAGATAGATAGGTTGGTGTTTTGTATGAAATTAGAGATGTTATTCAATAGCTTGAAAGGTTTTATTAATATTTATGATAATAAATTAACTAAACTTCGATAGGTTTCTTTTAAGTCGCTTGTTTATTTACATACGTGACTACTTTCTGGTTATAGGCACGAGTTCTGACCTAATTGAATTATTACATCTGTGATTTGATCCCACGGACTAGCTATTTACAACTTCCGTTGAGTTTGAAGGCAGTTTTCCTAAAAAAGATGCATCCGTTATAAAATAAAATACGTGTTTGTAAATGCTTACCGTAATAGCATTTCAGCACAATAAATTTACAGCAGATTCCCTTTAGGGAATAGTTCCTTACATAAATACTTCGTAATTTTTAATACTTCCTTCTCCATGAATCAACATTTTTCAGGTTTTAACAAAATAAGATTATGATTTTTAAGAATTTTTAAAATGTCTTTTATCAAAATTCGTTTTTATATTATTTGAATAGCGTGTCGTGTTTCAAAAACAATTGTAACATTGAACATAGCATAATGAGCCTTATTTCAATTGTGTAACATATAAACCAGATACAGTAGCTGCGGGATTTCCCGAGACTGCGCAAGAATGATCTGATAGACCTGTTTTTTGGCTCGTATCTAGTGTACGTTACACGATTGGTATAAAGATCATTATGGTTACAAGAAGTCACTTCCATTCGGCAATATAAATTGAGCCTAAGGGTGAGGTTAGAAGAGCGCAAATATTTAAGTTATAAGTCGCATTTTTTGAGACGCTTAATTCATGCTGCATTCGGTTGCATATTAATTGGTTTGTGCAACATGATGAAGTAAAATAATTTATCTGCCGACTCTCGTGCAGTTACGACCGAACTTCGGTCGCACTGTGTGACGTACTTGTGTGGGTGAAGTGAGGGTTGAGGGATACATTTGTTGGTGGGTGGGAGTAGTTTATATATTAACCTGGATGTTCACATAAACTTTCATATACTATATGAAACTGCTCATACTTTAATCTTTCTTTTATAATACCAAGTGACATGGTGAACAAGTCGTGCGCCTGGTGGTAAGCGACACGCCTGTCCATATCAATTGCAGTCAGCTTTAAATCTTAAAGATCTTAGAGGCCGTCACCCTGAGACATAAGTTGACAAGTCCCATGTGCCTGTAATTTCACCAGCACCCTTACCCCTCCAAATTGGAACGCAGTTATGCTCACATTACTGCTTGGTGGCAGAAATAGGTAAGGTGGCAGTACTACCTGGACAAACTCTTTCACAAGGAGCTCTACTGCTACTAAATCTTTTCATATTAAGTGGACGTACTGTCCAGGTAACACTTTTTATAAAATAACAATTACCTCAAAAGCACCCTTTTGTATTAAATTTAAAATAACAAGTAAAGAAAGTTATAATAAGAAACAACGTGTCGCGGCGGCGTCCATTTGCTATCGTCCATATCTGCCTGTACGTGGAAGCATTTGGTCGGAAGCACTTTCAGATATAATACAAAACGTGGAATGTGAAAAGAATAGCTTGACAAATTTGTTATTTTTTTATGTTGCCGGCTAGATGGGGATGTAACAGTACCCAAGTTCTTTTTATTTTTCTAAAATCGTCTTCTAATGCTTCATAAATGCATACTATTTTTAATGGATCCATTACACTATGTGACGCAAACACCCCGTAGATATGCTTAAAAGCAATTGAATAAACTACGTTCGTGTAGCGCCTCAACCAAATTTGAGTTGAACGTGAACTACAACACTCATAAAAATGTGACTCACAACTAAGAAAATTACACTCGTCTGGCCTCACCCTTACCGTTTCATATGTCCATCGAAGGGTAACTCATAGACAAGTATCCTGTTGGCTGCGGAAGATGATCGAGTCAAGCAGCGCAGAAATTGCCACAGCCGTCGCCCCGCGCGCGAGTCCTGTCAACTGCGCGGTAATACAATCTTGTATTGTAGGTACGAACCTGAACATGTCCCACTGATATCCAGGTTCTAAGTAGAGGGTACTAAAACGAAATCCATTGAGCAACTGATCGGGTAGTTTGTGACTTCACCGTAGAGACATTCCACACGAGCGTTGTTTATTATAAATCCAGAGGATTTATTCTTTTTTGGTAGAGAATTGATGTGGATTTTTTTATAATATGTGCCAGACAGTTGCATCAATTACCTGGTCTCACACTAGGGTATTCCCTGTACTATGACTACCAAAGCAACGAAACTTTGGGGCACTTCGCGGAACACCCAGACCAGAACTAATTTATAAAATTTCATTTCCCAAATTGATGCTAGTCGAACTCGGGAATCGAACTCGGGATCTCCGCATCCACCGCCCACAATGTAAACCTGCCGCCGAGGTCGTCAATAAAATGATCACTAGTTTCGGAATTTATAAAGCAAAATGAAAGTAAATTGTGATGCCGATGTAAAGGATAAAGAGCTGCAGAAATACAGAGAAATCTTCGTTATTCCAATTGCGAGATTTTTTTGTGAATTACATTTTTAATGGTTACCTATCTGAGGTCTGAAATGATATTTTTCAGAAATAACGTTTGCTCGAATTTTCATAAACTCGAACGTAATTTTGAGAGGAAAATTTTTTTCTTTTAAACCTAACCTAACCGAACTTAATCGTGTCTTTGCGATAAACATCCAACATATCCTGAAAGAACAACGGTTTCGTTATAATCGGTTTTCGGGGTAATGAAAATTCGAACAAATGTTATTTCGGACAAAATAAATTCGAGTTTGTTGATAGGTTACCATTTTTAATGTTATATTTTATTGAAATTTAAATTTAAGAAGAAACTTGTTATTGCAAATATGTTTACAGTTAGCGTGGACCGGTCCTGTATTTGTATTGCAAAGAGTTTTGTGATTTTTTTGCTAATATGTTCGGCTCAAATTGAAAACCTCGTAACCCCGTTTTTCGAGGAAATCCCTTTTTTACTCTGCACGCGCAATATCTAGCAATTTTTAAAATGAAGGCGTAAGTATAGATTGTCATATAATTATTTGCAGTAGTTTCGTTTTTTTCCTTCTTCAAATTAATAGACGTTACGAGGTTTGCACATTAGCCAACGATATGCAGGTTTCATTACGAAGTTTTCCTTTTTTCTGTTTAAGCGTAAGAGGCAGTAGAACTAAAATAAAATTATTAAAGTATTAAATAAATGTCGAAAATAATAAGGGATTTGGATCGTTCAAAACTGTAGGATGTTTCAAAAGAAGATGAAGACAGTGCTCGGGCCGAAGCGACGTTCCGTTTTACGGTGCAGAACATAAGTCAGCTCAAGGAGCAAGTGCTATCACCGCCATGCTACGTGCGGTGTCTGCCCTGGAAGATCTTGGTACTAATCCGGCATACTACCACACCGGACCGTCAACAGCAGAAAGCATTAGGTATTTAGAATTAATTTTAAATTTTTAAAATTCAAATTCAAATTCCATATATTTGCCACACACACACACAAAAAGCATAAAACATACAAATGAATAATCTTACACATAAATATCAGGTTCTTAGGTTTTTGCGATTGTTATACATAGGAAATGAAACTATTTTTCCGGATTGAATAAACCAAACTTTCGGGCCCTTTACGTTGGTCAAAAATGGAAAAAAAAGAAATGTACGCGATTTAAATCTGGAAAATTAGTTTAATTTCTTACATGTAAATGTTAACTCTTAATTTGGCAAAAAAAAAAAACATTTTGAATTGAAACAAATACTGAAATAGGAATGTGTAGAGCCTAAATATGCCCAGAAAAATAGTAAAAAAAATCTAGGGTTTTCAGTTTTCCTGAAAAATCATGTATGCTACTACATACATTGCCAAGTGGGTAAAGAAATATGTATCCATTTGAATGTATGTTGGGGCATACCTTACCAAAACCAGTAAGAATAAAAATCATAAATATGTATTGTAACTTTAATTAAAAACAAACATAAATCAAACCTCTTTATAAAAATGAGTTGATGGACATACATTATGAAAGCAAAGTAGCGGGAATAATGGCTCTGCAACACTGTGATTGGCAGTAAATGCTGGAAGTAAACCCAGAAACTCTACTCATTTTCGAAAATGATAAATTAGTTGACAATTCCTGGGTTTACTTCCGGTAACGAAAAATAACCGGACTTGGCATTTGCTGCAAATGACCGATGTCGTGAACTTATTTTTTAAAAAAGGTTGTATGGCACAGCATACAATACCAAATTAAGGGTTAACTAAAAACACAAAACTATATCTAAGGTCACAAAAGTGTGGTGAGGATTCTGAGCTCAGTATATGCTGTGCTAATTTGTACTGATTTTTAGCCAGAAAGAGGTTTGTGTAACAGAATATTTATGAAATAAAATTAGCACAGACGCTTAACTAATTAAGCTATGAGGAGCGCGAAAGTAAAGAAAACAGAAGGCTAATTATATGATTTTTCATACTTAAGACATAGGTACATACGTCATTCTATTGTCATATTCAAAAGCTCAAAGTGATATGAAATTTTAAAGGTGTTTCAATATTTAATTTCAAATGTTAATTTTATCGTAGTAATAACTGCTTGTTTATAAGGCACCAAATAAATATTTTGAGTCTAGATATAGATAGATAGATAGATAGATAGATAGATAGATAGATAGATAGATAG